GGTACCAGATCAAAAAGAAAAAAGCTAGCTTGTCAGTTGTTCTTAAAAATAACTTGGTTGAAAGTTTTACTCAGACATATATCATATTGCAGATAAAATGGGTCACAGCCTCGTTTTGTCTTACAGACATTATTGACCCAAAAATGAAAATTGTCAGCATTTACTCACCCTCATGTCAAACTTGTATGACTTTTTTTTCTGGAATACAGAAGAAGATATTTTTAACCATTGTTCTGTGCTGAAAATCCTTTACCTAATTTGGTGTTCTAGTTCAAAATCGGTCAGGCCTTTTAAAGATTGCTTATAAATCTTTCATTATGCTATATTATTACCAAATCAACAACCTTATTTGTGGATAATTTGGCAGTGATCACTCAAAAACGGTTTGAACGTGCACTGTTATCATACCATAAACATTTGCATATCTACGGTTTAAAAAAAATTAATGAAAAAAAATCTCACCCGCGCACATGCAACTTATTACTTTTGATAAATCAAAAGTAGATATGATATGTCTGTGAATATTTATGTGCAAAGAGACAGCTGTATAAATAATCTGCTTGTTTCTGCATGTCTCTGAGTGGCTCCGTTTTATCTACTACACACTGAAGTACGCATACATAAATGGTGTTTTCAGCGTCTAAGATACATAAACATGAACATCAGCAGAGCTGCTCTGAGAGAAAACGTAAATAAACATTTCCTAGTTTTATTTGAGAAAATCCATTGTCAAATACACTCTGAAACTAATTTATTTAAAAATTGTTTTCAAGGAATATCATGTTTGTTCATGTTTTAGTTGTAACATGAGTTGTAAATTTTCATTTGATAACATTTTAAAACATTAATTAAAATGTTAAAGTGTGATATAGATATACATAAGGTTTATTATTTTTATTGTTTTTTAAATTGATTTATTTATTTATTTATTCAGAAGGGAGACTTCAATACTTTCATTAAAATGGTTTCAAGTTTGTTGTAATAAAGGATTTGTTCACGCAAATAACTTGTTCTGGTTCTCTTAAGAGTCATTGTTACTGATAAGAATTATTGTTTAATATATACCGTGATAACCGTGAAACCGTGATATTTTCTGAGACGATTATCATACCATGAAAATCTCATACCGTTACAACCCTAATAAGCTCACATCAGTGAGGTCTACAATCAGTCAGGTTCCATAAAGAAACACAAAAGCTGTGCTAATTGAAAGAAAACAAACTGATAAAAATATGGAATCCAATATTTGTTAATAATATAGCATAACAAGAAATGTATAAGCAACTTTTTGTAGGCTGGTCATTTTTTGACTGGGAACACCACAAGTGTAACCAGGTGGGGAAAAAAGTAGAAAAAATTAAAAGAAGAAAATAAAAAAGAAAAAGGTAAGGGTGTGAGCACAGTCAGTAAGTTTTAGTCCCATGCAAAAATATCAACTAGGATTTTTGGGGAAAAAATCCTGAAGGTTAACATTTTCAATTATTTTTGTATGTATAATGAAAGTCAATGGGTCCAAAACAACATTGGACCCCATGGTCATTCATAATATGGAAAAAAAATAAGTAAAGATCCAAAAAAATAATTGTAAGTAAAGAATTACATATTATATATATATACTCCAGGTAGGTTGCAGTTCTGGAAAATGGTGGCGATGAAGACTAAATGGTTCCTGATGGTTTTACACCTAATTCTTCACATTAATTCTTAATTCTTTTGCAGTTAACATGTGTCTTTTCTTCTCCATCTATTTTTTCTGACCCTGCTGACCCAAGTATTCTGCTGTCCAATGGTAATTTCTTAACTTTGCAATTTCTGTATTGCATTAGTTTTGAATATTTCTCATGGGGATTTAATAATTTTTGACACTTCAGTCTGAGTTAAATCTCTTTTTTTGGCTCATTTTATCTGTAAAAGAAAACGTGCCTAATAATTCTGCACACCTGAATATAAGGAGTTTTTCACTTCCAGCCTTCATGGACAATTATATATCACTTATAAATTATTAAATACAAAATTTATAGTAGTTATTAAGATTGATGTGGTTTGGAATTGGTCAAATGTGCTTGGAAACAAAATATGATCAGAATATCAACGTGCTAAATAATTATACATGCACTGTATATTTGTGTTCCACAGTAAGAAATACCCTCATTCAGGTTTGGAAAGATATGAGGGTGAGTAAATGATGACAGAATTTTCATTTTTATGGAGACTATCCCCTGAAATGTTTTATTTTGATAGGACACAAAATCACTCTTATCATTTGATATCCTAATGCAATTAATTAGAGACGAGTGTCATTTATCTATCTGATGTCCCTGTGGTATTTTCCTTTCGCTTGCTCTCAGATCTGTCATAAATAAGCATGATTACTGCATGTTCAAAGAATCAGAATTTTTCAGAGCTACTTCCTGCCACAAGTGGAAATTGTCACTTTTGGAATAAATTGTAGGCATTACTCATGTGTGGTTATGAGAGTGCTGTCTGCCAAATCTCTCTC